GTGCTGATATTATTGGGTGTACGGATTGTTCACTGAGAATTCGTGTGTTGTATGAAACTGTTTCAGAACACTAACTTAATTTTTATTTAATATCTATATCGTTTGGCCTTTACATTATTAACGAGATTATTACGATATTTCTTGGATTTTAAGACAGTTTTTTCAATTTTCGTATTTATTTACTTTAAGCACCGGTTTTACTCACCCGTTTATAAATTGTTAATCGAGTTGCAAACCGGGTTACTTAAGTAAACCGGATGACCCGGTCATTTGTGTTAAGAAATTCATACGATTGGCTAAATTTTGCAGAATCAAAATTTAATCAAATTCGCTCACATGAATATTAATAAGCACCATTCATCTGCCAAATTAATTAACAATAAAAATTCATGAGCTTAAATGGCATATTAGATCAATCAATGTTCTTTATACTTACAAACAAATAAACGCGAATAATGAAGTTAAATAGTAAATATTCATGAACTTGTATATCTCAATGTTCTTTATACTCACTCTAAAGTAAGATTATGAATGGCAAATATAATAATCTTGAATAGCTTATTTTAAAATACTTAAACTCACTATTAAATTATCTCGAATTAAAGAGTAAATGTTTATGAACTTGAATAATTCATTTTGGATAAAATTGAGTAGAAAATATTTATAAATTTAAAGGCATGCCTTTAAGCTAAAGCTGAACCTCTAAAAAAGGAGCTGGTGGAATAACTGGCAACACTTAAAAGAGTTACCAGGATAACCGCAATTCTTCAGAATGATCATTCAGTGCACTCCCTTCTACCTGTCAAGCCATTTCCTGGCATATGGAGTAAAAATAATCTTAATTTTGGGAAAGAGTAAGTCAAAATACAATTAGCGAGCGAACCACAAATTACAATTTTTTAAGGAACTTTCTAATCTACATTTTTATGAATATCATTAAGTACAGTTAACTCTATCTATTCCCGTTCTTATATGTAAAATTGGTCAAAAAGTTCAGTTCACAAAGAGGTATTATATTATTAATCCGAACTTTATAATAAAATCTACAAATTTTCTAAAGTTTTACGTTCGGTTCTCTCAGAATTTATTAAGGTTCTGATTAGAGAGAGGCGACTGTACAAACATTGATTAAATTTTTACTGAAATTTAATTTATTTTCACGATCAATAATAAATAACAATTTGCGAAAACATGAAACGAGATTGAAAAAAAAGTTAAAAAACTAGAATTTAAGCGAAAGAACGGTAATTAGTGTAAGCAACCACTAAAATAACGGTAATTGGTGTAAGCAATCACTAAAATAACGGTAATTGGTGTAAGCAATCACTAAAATAACCAGAAAGTAGAAATAAAAACAAAACCAAAAAAAAGCTTAAAAAAAAAATGTTGATAATAAAGTAATCGTGAAATACGATTAACGATTTCATAATAACATTTACGTATAACCGTTGTAAAATAACAGCTATTCTAATTTCATCGTTCTTGCAGCTTCTAATTGTGTCAAATCTTCATTTTTGATACCCATCCAATTTTCAGGAGAATAAAGCCAAATAAACAATTTACTAAGCGGAATTCCTGTGTATCGGTCCACAAGACCAAGTTTATCAGCAACGCATGTGAACGCAGCTTCCGTGTACCAACCAAGCCAATAAAAAGTAAGACCTATGGGTGGGAGTTGTTCAATCGAACCTATGTAAAGATTATTGGAGAATAATTCACGTGGAAGTCCACGTGAAGCAATGGCGACCGAGGTATTAGAACGTTTCGATCCTTGACTGACGAGTGGAGAGTCAGATTCAACGATATTTTGAGAGTTTTTTGGCATCTCAAATAAAATTGAGTTATTAGAATATTGATCTCCGAACTTTTTGTTGATAGCGTTATCATTCAATTCACGAGATGCTAGTGGATCTATAAAAAAAAAAAAACGGTAAATAAGGATGATAGGAAAAAATAAAAATTATATGATAAAAAAAAAATAACATACATTGACTAATATTCGTAGCATCCTCATTAGCATCACTTGTATGCAATTTTTCTACAAAGAAAGTTAATAATAAATAATATGTTCATAAACTAAGCTTATAGCAGAGAATAAAAATCACAAACTTTGCAATTCCGAATCCACCACATCCTTACGGTCAATGGATTCATCTTTGGGCGCATCAGGAGAGTGATTGTAATTATTTTTGAACTCATCAGGAGAGTAATCGTAATTATTTTTGGACTCATTAGGAGAATGATTGTAATTATTTTTGGACTCATTAGGAGAGTGATTGTAATTATTTTTGGACTCATCAGAGAACAAATTAAAATAATTCTTGGACGTATCAGAAAAGCGATTAGGTTCAAATGAATAAGGATAATTCGTGTAATTTTCTTTAGGAGAACTGCCCCATCCTTCTTCACGCAATTCTTCAGTTGTTGGAGCCGTATTGTCAGATAAAACGTTTTCAACAGAACCTTCAGTAATTGATGAATCAGATTCGCTTGGAGGGCCCGGCTTTATATTTCTTTCGTGAATAGGAGGAATCACGGTATTGGCATTTACTTCGGATTCGTTACTGTGACTTGGACCGTTTAACGAATCGAACTGCTGACTCACGTGATTTTCCCTTTTATTATGAAAATTTTCATTCATGTGATTTTCATCTTGGAGAGAATTTTTTTTGATCAAGGGTTGACGGACGATTTTTTCAACGGTGGATTCATCACCATCATTGATACTTGGTGGAGGAGCATCATTATTCATGGCTTCACTCTTAACTACCATAAACATTAAAACATTATTAATATTGTTATATTTAAACGCAGCAACAGGTTTTTGGATATTTATATTATGAAAAAAAAAAAATACCACTTGTAACTGAAGAATTATCAGAAGCAGACGTAGTTTTTTTATTTTTCTTTTTATTACTTTGTTTATTATTATTAGTCTTTTTAAGAATTTTTTTGGGGGACATATCATTAGGTTTTTTAGGATCACTAGTTTTTCTAGATTTACCAAGGCTTAGAAACATTTTGAAGAAAAGCGAAAGGAATCGAATTTATTTGATTGTAGAATAGCAGAAGTTCGTTGTTTATCAAATTATTAAAAAAAAAAAAATATGATGATAGAAATTTTATCATATATTATTCAAAGTACGATAAATGACGTTATAATACAATAATCATACATTTAATAATGACTACAGTATATTATAATACACGTATTTATAGTAAATACAAGTTGAATTTCAGAAAGTTTTTAATTTTTTTGCCTTCTATTTATATTGATTTGAACGTGTGAAAAATTCTGAAATTAAAAAAAGCTTTTGATCGATCACGTGATAATGAATTTTACCGCGCTTTCAAGAACATTCTGTATGACCATATGATATTCACAGATCAACTTATATATAAATAGAATAATTAAACATCTCCTTTAATTATCGTATTGTTTATTCTTTGTCACTTTCTTGCTTATTACTTGAATTCGTTTACGTTAAAATGTCGTATTTATTCGATGATTTAATTGAAATCCTTCCTCTTAACTTTTTGAAACCAATGATTATTGGGACTTCTTTTAGTCAATCGTTAGGAATGTCAATTCCTCTTGACATTTCAACCACGCAAACTCATTATATTATTAGAGCTGATGTTCCAGGCATTCCATTATCAGATATTTCTTTAGAAATTTCTGATACGAATGTATTAACTATTTCAGCTCATCGTAAAAGTGAAGTCCAAGAAAATGAAAAAAGTGATAAAGAGGAGGATTCTAAAATTGTTGAAAGATATTATGGGAAATTTGTTAGGAATCTTAAATTTCCAAAGGATAGTATTGTAGCTGATGGTATTAAGGCTGAATTAGCCAATGGAGAATTGATTATTAAGATTCCTAAAAAGAAAGTTGGAAATGAAAACAAAGTTATAAAAGTTGTGCAAACATCAAGATTGTGATTATAAAAGTTTTTTTTTTTGTAATAGTTACGTTATACAGTATGTTATATTTCCAACATTTGCAAGATTTTAACGTTTAGACTGTATTTGCTTTAATTGCAAGCATCTGCCCCTTTAATTGATTATGTAATTGCTTCAATTAGTCAATTCGAAGAATATTGACTTAAAATTTTATCGTTATGTATATTCGAGTTTTATGCAAGAATAAATAATATATTTACTTAATCTTTTTTTGAGAATTTGCTTAGCTAACACACAATATCTATCGCTATACAATTAATTATAAAAACAAAGCATAATTTAATCGTATTATCTTTTCTTGACTAACTTGTTGTTAACGAGTTTATAGTGTGAGAAAAGTTACTGCTAATGGTTGATAATATTGTATCAATTTTTATAATAAATTATGATAATCTCAGATTTGGTCAAGACAACTTTCCTCTAATTGAGTCTATTAATACTGTAAATCTACTAATACTCATTAGCGTTAGATAAATTTTTATCTTTATCATCGATCAGATTTATGTTCAGCGGTTTATCGTAATATAATAATAATTCATTGTGGCGATTACTCATTAGTATACTTGTCGGTCAAATAAAAAGGTTCCATATCCCAAATCCTAAATCTCAATAAAATCGTCCAAATCTAAAAATTTCACCAATAAGTATACTCACTTGAGTTTCCTGCCAATGGTTCGTGAACTTTTATGACGACCATCAGTATTTGATTCTACGACATTTTTTGTTAAAAAAGTAAAATTCTAATAAATCTATATATAATTAAATTAAATAGAGATGTATATAGTAAAAAAATCGTACGCATTTTCAGCTTTGACAGTGTCATTCACCCTAATTAAATCACAAGTTGTCGTGAATTTTACATGGGTGTACTGTAATGATAAGATAATTGAACTTTTATATTGAAATTCATTTTTGCTTCAAACACTATTAAAATAAATCAGTGTTGAAGCCAAATATATCACTTTGGCGAAGTATTTCGGATTTTGAAAAAGTAATTTCGCCGACAACAATTCTAAAAAAAAATAGCAATACTGTAACGATAATATTTCTTTAAAAATAATTATATCCTAGATGTCGATTTAACTTCTTGACAATACACGCAAGAGTTAATTCAATTTTTTTATCTTCCTATAATTTACACATGCGCAAGTCTAATATATATATAGAATTCGGAGCAATAATACTAAAGCAACTATTAGCTAATAATAACACTTCGGCTATTTAGAATACCATCGTAGCAATCAAATCGCATGTGTCGAGACGTCATCTGGCAAGATAATAGTAAACTTGACAATTTAACATGAATTTTAATGAATATCTTTGTATATTAAATTTTGATGTTATTAAAAACTTACCTAAATAACGACGCAAAAATTTCCGAGAATATAACAATTATTTTAAATTAAAATGTTAAATAAATGTTCAGTTTATTATTTCGGGAATGTAATTTGTTTAGCAATATATTTTAAATTTAACCATAATCTTCATGTTAACTTTAGGTTCAAAAAAAAAAAGAAATTTTGTATACACTAATTATGGTTTCAATTATAGTAGGCCTATACGCTAGAGCTTGGATTCGGATAAAATTCATTTATTCCCTACTTGACTAATTGTAGATTACGAGGCTTTCACTTTTATTTTTGACGATAATTTAATTTAAACTCAGTAAAGAAATAGCCTTCGACCGACAATTAGTAAAACAGGAGAATAACCCTCTTCGTGGGGAATGAAGAGTGCTTATATCGAATTTATAAATTTTTTTTTGCATCCAATAATACATTATTCTTACCCAAATTTAGCATATATATAATCTAATACCCTTTTTTTTCTTGCTTTAACAATTTGTATCTTGTTTTTATCCATCGTAAAAAATAAATAAATAAATAATAATAATAATAATAAATGAATTTTATTTAGTCTTTTTTTGACGTTTTTCATAGATCTTTGCGGTAAAAGGTCTAAAAAATCGATAGAGTTTAATATTAATAATTATAAACAAAAGGAATAAGCTGATTGCTATAAACCTACCCTTCGAATCGAAGTGCTATTAAGTAAACTGTAAATGTCCATGTAGTTAAAAGGATTCCAGCAGGACACGCATACCTATTTGTAACTAAAACTTCAGGAAATTTTATCATAAATTTACAACCAATTTTATTAAGACATACCATAAAGCAGTGGCTAAAAACACCATAGTTGATCCATAATACATTGGATTTTCAAGTACGTTAAACGGAAAAGAAGTGACTCGACTATTCATCAGAATACCAAAGTAATCACCTATAAATCATTAAGAAAAAAATAATTAAATACTTTTGAAATTATCATATTTTTTTTTTCTGGAATTCTTAACAAGTTCCTACCAAGGAATGTTCCAGTTATACCAAGCGCATACGTTGACGAGAGTACAAAAGTATTGCCCATAAAGAATAAAAGTGCTGCTAAAATCTTAATAGAATCATTTTGTAAAAGTGATGACTTTGGTTGATGATCGATTGCTATTTTATATCTACATGAATTTTTTTAAAGCATATTTTTATTATGAATAGAATTAATTAAAATTATTTAAAAAATACCAAAATTTTATTTATAATACACTAACAAGTAATCTCTAAAGATTCCGAGTGAAAAAATAGTAGCAGCCAACGCATAACAGCCATAGTAAGGATTCCCACCGAAAAGACGAGTTATAAACCTTGTATGATGTTCTGCTCAATTTTTTTTTTCAAAAAAAGAAAATTTTTTAGAATTTATAGAATATATCGAAGAAAAACTTTTTTTTTTTTCCACAACCTCTTCTAGCAACAGTATTCCAAAAAAGAGGATTGAACGAAATTGAAGCGAAAGATATCCATAAGGATTTTTGAGAAAAATCAATAAGTTCTGATGACATTTTTTGATTTCATCAATTATTATCGTTTATTATATTAAATTTTTTAGTGATTACCTAATCGTTACGTTATTGTGCAGGGACAATGATTTTCTGTGGTGATTAAACCTAAATTTCGTGAATGTGCCAATTTCTGCGGTGCCCATTTTTTTTTGATCAGACAGTGCATCCACATATTTGCGCGAGTAATACAAACCTCTAAAAAGGAAATGGTCATTCAGAGAACACGTGCGAGAGAAGAAAAAAGAAAAGAAAGCGAAATTACTCGAAAACTAATTTTTAAATCGACCTTGATGGACTAATAAAAAATGACGGGAATGAATTTTACATATAAAAACACTAACTTATCGCTATAGTCCCTAATCCTAACGTCCTAATCCTAAATTTCCATTTTTACGCACTTACTTTATTTGGGTTGTATTACCCGCGCAAATAAGTAAAATCTCAAAAAAGTGTTAGCATCTAAATAAATAACCTTATTTCTGTATTTATTGGATGAATATATACTATATATAATTAAAAATATTACCAATTAACATCCCTACGTAACTACGTTGAGTTATTACCTCGCACCAGCTCGAATTTTATAGTTCTACTATATTTTAGAATTCTGCGGTATTTTACGCATTTTTTTTTTTAGATTCTGTGAGATTCTGCAGTGACTAAGAAATTCTGTGGCTTTCTATGAACATCATCTCGACATCGTGATGCGTAATCCCCGTAATTTGGGGTGTTGGGGTGAAACTCATGATTACATGACAAACGAGCAACAGACACGATGTATAAAGTTAATTTCTTCATGTTGAACTGCATGTTCTAGAAAGATTTGAATTCTTGAATACCAGAATATTAGGAAGGCTAAAACTTGATATTCTTATGATCATTGTCTTGTATTGATATTGACGCGACAAATATCAGATACTTTCATAAAGATGGTCTATATAATATAATTAAACAGAAAGAACAGGATCAAACAAAATATATGCGATGAGAATTGGATTAAAGATGTGTTTAAATTAGAGATGCCGGTGAAATTAATTTCCAATTTCACCAATAGTGGTGACCACTCTAAGTTTAAATACATATTATGAAAATCTATATATAGTTCTCCAATAGTTTATTATTTTGCTTTCTGCAAAGACCAGAATGATACAAAGATTCTGCTTCTACAAATTAGAATCCTAGCAAAAGCGCGCATCAAATGAATCCATTTTATTTAGTATGGATGAACATACATTCCTTGGGTTATCCAATCTTTTAACAAGCGCAAACACATTTCTTGAGTAAAATCATGCCAGGAATAGTCTGGGTGACTTAATGTTGTGGATTCTAATCTTTTAAATTAACCATCTGCGGAATGGATTAAATAAATATCTCAGGAGGAAAAAGGTTCTAAACTGATATCTAACCCGTTTTTTTTATATCTGTTCGAACAACCTTACGCGTTCGGACAAATATTGCAAAGCTAGTTATATCTAATAAAAGCAATTTTATTGGTCACCACACGCGAGCAGAGTGCTCTCCACCGAATTAGTATTAGTATTTATTTGCTGAACACCATTTCTGAAGTGGGTGTTTATATAACTGTTAAATTATCGACCAAAGTGTAAAATTGTGTAATATGAATGAACCAAACACATTTTATTTTATATGGCGAGTATATGATATATACACATTACAATTCATTTAGCATTTAAAATTTCAAATACAGTATATAACTTTATACAAAATCAACGAATCATCTCTGCTTGTGTTAGTCCAATGGACGTTTTAAAGATCCTACACGTACCTTCTGTGCTTCTTTTTTCAAACGAATTTTTTCTTTAGCAGCTCTTTCATTCAAGATCAAACGCCAGTTTTTCTGTGCTCCTTCAATTATTCGTGCCACTAAATTTGTTGCCTGACCTCTGTTAATAGACTTGATTGCATCATCATTTAACGATACTTTTTTCTTTTTTAACCATTGTATCTGTTGTTGTGTTATAGGTTCTCGACGCCATTTGGCATAACGTAATGCAATGTCACGAATGTGCCTACCCCTTTTATTTGAAGTCCGAATAACCCATTGATCACATACATGTATAACGGATTCCAATGAATCGCTACGTATGGGCAAATCTTCTAGAACATGAACGCACACGCTAGTATTATTTATAAATCTATTTTGCTTCTTACGTAACTTAACATGATAAACTCCTATATTAGCACGTAAGAAATAAATGAATGTAAATGTAAACAACTAAATTGAGGCAAAAATAAATCTTAAATCGTTACCTTGAATATCTTTTTCTACTCTTAGTGTACCGACTTCGTACAATGGTAGCACATATATGTCATGGCTGACTCTAAGCCACGCAAAGTCCGAAATGGTGCCTATAAATGTAGCACCAGAACAATCCTCAATAATTTCAAATGGATTGTTATATTCTGTAATTTTGATTTTTGTTATGTCTACTACATATTCTCGAGTCTTTTGCTCCACTTTGATGTTTTCTTTATTCTCACCAATTGAAGGAATATAATCTATGAAAGTATAAATCAATTGAAATATTTCTATCGCAGCTTTTTTTCCTCCTTTAAAGAATCACGAGAGTTAAACAAACCGTTCAATTCTGTGGTAGGGTCCAACCCAAATAACGTAGGAGCGGTAATTAGATCCGGAATTTTATAATAAGAATCAATAAAATCCAAAACTAAACAGTCCTCTTTGTCTTCTGCAGTACGCATTCCACGCCCAATCATTTGTTGAAAGAGTACATGTGATTTCGTTGGTCTGCTCATTATAACACAATCAATGGTAGGGACGTCCATGCCTTCGGTTAAAATACCTGAATAGATATAGTTATAAAAAAATTAGCAACTTACTTAATTCATACTAAATAAATAAAAACGCATTACCGCAGTTAACTAAAACCGGAAACAATTTTGCTCTAAAATTGTTCAGAATTTCTGCACGTTGATATGCTTTTGTTTTGCTGGTTATACCATAAGCGTTAATTCCATATTCTCGAAACGTTTCCGTTAGATTTTCCACGTGGTCAATATCTACTCCAAATACTAACGTAGATTTTCTATTTTCTGAAAAACATTATTAATTATAATAATTTTGCTATTTTGTATATTTGTATCATAAATAAATCAAATGTTGTAAAAAATTACCAGCAAATTTAAGGTATGTTCGTACTATAATTTCATTACGATTTTTAACATTAACCAATTTAGAAAGAATTGTCGGTACGAAATCGATAGCATTACTTTTTACTCGAGATAAATCAGTTCCTGTTCTAATTGTTGTTACTCGGAGATTGCATAACCTAAACATTTTATACATACATTCTATAGCAAATATAAACGGTTGAATAGTAAACTACATTATATATGTATATTATATATGTATATGAACCATTTCTCCTTGATCATCTCTAAGAAGTCTTTGTGGTAAGTAATCTCGTCAAAAATGCCATCAAGCGCCAGTCCATCATATCTTCGAACTGTCGCAGAACACCCCCAAACAAATATATGAGTATCTTTCGTGTGCGCGCCAAAGTATTCTAAAATTTTACGGTAAGTCGATGCTGCGGCATGGTGTGCCTATTGTAAAGTGAAACATTGATAAAGAATCAGAAATATTACAATCACGAAAAAAAAAAAAGTATATATTTACTTCATCAATTACAATTGCTTTAAATTGGGATGGATCATATTTTTCTATGCGAGCGGATCCTGTCCTTCCTAATGTTTGAACACTTCCAATAACAACATTTGCATTCCCAGTTGCGGTTCTTTCTCCTTGATCTATTTCTGCAGTCTACGGTATTATTGGTAAACTCCTCAAATTTGAACAAAAAGTAAATATATGTTCAAAAATCTTTACCAAATTCGAATATTTTTTGATTTGTTTATATGCCTGATCGAGAAGCTCTTCTCTATGAGCAAGTACAAGAATTTTTTCTGCTCCGTGCATAGGAGATGGAATTCGATGAATTAAATTTGAAAATATGACCTATGCACAGCAATCAAATCAATTCTCGCGAGCATTAACTATTTATCTGTTGTTATTCAAAATGTATTGTTATGGTGAATTACCGTTTTGCCACTTCCTAAAGGATAAAATGACATTTTGAATTAAATTTAGATTTGTAGTAATAACAAATAGTTTACGTAAAAATTATTATCATCGTACCTACAGGTAATGACACAATTTGACGGTTTACTTTTTCTTTAAGAAATTTATGTAGGCATGTTTCAATACATTCTCTTTGATATGGGCGTAAATGGTCCATACTGTTATATAATTCGTTCTCTTGTTCTGCCAAACTCGAGCTGTAAGCGTGTAATTTGCTATTTCTAAAGGCAAGCAAAGACGCGCTAGACAGCTTACGCGGACGAGACGCGAAAAAAGTGCTTAATATATAATTTTTATAGAACATAATTTTTCACGTTATAGAAATTCATGCAACATATACCCGATGGATAAAAATCTCACATGACAGATGATATTAATATTTTGACAGTGTTACACCAGATCTTGCATCTTTTTTGATCGTCTACAGAATACTGGCCGATTTTCTACAGTTATTATAGACGAAGTAAAATGAACAATTCTGTAATAAAAGTATGGTCCCAACATCGCATGCAATCAACGGATCCATCTCCTAAACCAATACCCACAGCATCACCAGTATCGAATACAGGCAAACTTGTAGACACACAAAATAAAGACGCGTGCGAAATTAAAGAAAAAAAGACTATGGTAAAAAATAATCAAAATAAGGAATTGAAGAATTCAAAGAGTAGGAGATAGCTGTTCAATTGCGGAAAAGGTCTTCTTGAATTGATTATATAATATTTCATTCTATTTTTTTATAGGCTTGAAAAATGAATCAACGTTACCTATCGCACGATTATCCGATTTAGGAGGAATCGATGCTTGTATAGAAGAAGTTTTGGAATTAATTGCGATGCCACTGGCCCATCCAGAAATATATTTACACACTGGCGTTCAACCACCAAGGTTAGTTACTGCTATCCTTTTTATTTATATAGAAATAAGGTTAACTTTTATTTTTAAATTAGAGGAATTTTATTGCACGGACCTCCAGGATGTGGGAAAACATTGCTTGCAAACGCCATTGCTGGGGTATGGATCTCTAACAAATTTAAATTCTTTCTAAAAAGTTACTAAAATATTTATATATAATAATAGGAATTAGGCGTACAGTTTATTAGCATTTCCGCGCCATCTGTAGTATCTGGAATGTCTGGAGAGTCTGAAAAGAAAATTAGAGATGTTTTTAAAGAAGCTAAAGTGAGCATAGAATATAAAAAATTTTGGTGAAATATAATAAATACTGCTTTTTTTTTTAATAAGTTTCAATTATTCTTTAAGAAAAAAGCACCGTGCCTTATTTTTATTGATGAAATCGATGCTATCACTCCAAAAAGAGAAACAGCTCAGCGGGAGATGGAAAGACGAATAGTAGCACAACTGCTAACATGCATGGATGGTGTGTAATATTATATTAGGCCCCATTCAACATCGTTCATATAAGTGAACATTTATTGAACATAAAAATATTCAGATCTTTCGTGGGATAAAACAGACAACAAACCTATATTAATTATCGGCGCGACAAATAGGCCAGATTCACTTGATCCGGCACTTCGTCGTGCTGGGAGATTTGACAGAGAAATTAGTATAGGAGTCCCAGATGAGCAATCACGAGAAAAGTACGTTTCTATAATATATTTGATTAAATTCATGAATAGTTATCAAAGTTTATTTTCAAATACAGGATTTTGAGAGTAATTGCGTCAAAATTAAAACTTTCTGGGGACTTTGATTATAAGGCACTTGCAAAATCAACGCCTGGATATGTAGGCGCTGATTTAAACGCATTGACGGCTGCAGCAGGTGTTATAGCTGTCAAGAGAATATTCACAAAATTAAATGAATATAGTCATATTATGGATGAAGATTTATCGGAAATGCACATAGATGGAAAGCTGCAAGATTCTATTGTATCAGATGATTTGAGTACCCCTTTCGAAAACCAATCTCCTTCAGATCAAATGCGTTCAATATCTATCTTTCTTAAAAATCATCCAGACCCACTTACAGAGGAAGAACTTGAACCTCTTAGTATCACTAATGATGACTTTTTTCAGGCTCTATCAAAAGTTCAACCTTCATCTAAACGGGAAGGGTTCGCTACAGTACCTGATGTCTCTTGGTTTGATATTGGTGCATTAAGATTTGTAAGAGATGAATTGAGAATGGCAATTGTAGAACCGATTAAACATCCAGAATTATTCAAAAGAGTTGGGATAACGGCACCCTCTGGAGTTTTGTTGTGGGGACCACCTGGTTGTGGAAAGACGCTCTTGGCCAAGGCAGTGGCTAACGAGAGTCATATAAACTTCATTTCAGTTAAAGGGCCAGAGTTACTTAATAAGGTTTGCAGATATTTCATATTGAATGAGAGAGAGTCTTTGCATTGGTTTTTGATCGACAATATAAACTTCTTACAAATAGTATGTTGGTGAGAGTGAACGTGGTATCCGACAAGTTTTTAATCGCGCTAGGGCTTCATCTCCATGCGTCATATTTTTTGATGAACTTGACGCGCTTTGTGCGCGACGTAACGATTCACAGGTTATACATATCCATTAAAATTCATAACTCAGAAATATCAATTTGCTTAATAATTCTGGCTTACTCTATGAATCAATTAGTCTGAGACATCTGCGCGCATCGTTAACACACTTTTGACTGAATTAGATGGATTAGAGAATCGAAAACAAGTTTATATTATTGCAGCTACAAATAGGCCAGGTATACTTTGGAGATTTTACCGAAATTTTCATTTTACATAATATTCACTAAAAAAATTTTTTTAAGATATTATCGACCCAGCAATGATGCGTCCTGGACGTCTGGACAAGCTTTTATACGTAGGGTTACCTACAGCATCTGAACGATATGAAATCTTAAAAACGTTAACAAAACAGACCCCTTTAGGTGATGATGTTTCATTAGAAAAAATTGCTGAAGATGAAAGATGCTCTAATTTCAGGTTGGTATTGATGTTAATATTATCTATACTGTATAAAAAAAATTATTATTTTTTTATTTACTTTTTTTTGTTTTTAAAGTGGTGCAGATCTGGCGTCCTTAGTTCGTGAAGCAGCGGTTGCAGCATTACGAACTACTCTTTATTCACAAAATGAAAGCTCGGCAAATAGTATAATAAAATCTGAGAATGAAATTTATGTAACTTCAATACATTTTGAAATATCATTTGCTAAAGTATCACCAAGCGTGTCTAAACTAGATAAACTAAGATATGATTCATTAAAGATCAAGTTTGGATATTCATAAGAAAAAAAAAACACCCCAAAAAAATGAAAATCAAGCTTAATCGATTAGTTGATTTCAAAGCTTTCAGGATTTATCCAAAAATTTAGCCTTAACCTTACCCGCATTTAGGTTATTATTTTTTACATTGGAAAACTTAGGAATGGCATAATTGTTCTTAATAAAATTGGCCAGTTTTTTTTTTTAAAAAAAATTTTTGATGGGAATGTTGTGATTATTAAAATTAAGTAATGATTCTTAAAATTGAACCTTGCTTTCTTTGTTGATTTACGTCATATAAAACATAAGTCAGCTGCATGGGCTTCCCGTATCATGCATGATTTATTTCACTTTTATCAGTAAAATTTAATACAATAATCGTATGATTTTGCTCCGCTTTACGTACGTATTAGCTTATTGAAAAATTTTATCTAGCACCCTACCTTGGTACCATTAAAGAACAAATTTGCGGATAAAAGAAATCAAAAACGAATCACGATTGTTAAACGCCTTAAGAAACTAACTTATGGATTAAAGAGAATATATTTCTGCAGATTTACTTTAAAGTAAATTCGCCAAATTTCGAAGAATATTCTTTTTACTGTTACCAACTCTCAAAAGAGAAGCTGAACAACTTTGCGCAACTAGGAACACCAAGCTTCGTAAACCCGCCAAATTTAAGAATTACAAGAATTCTTTATAAGAAAACTTTTACCAACTCTAAAAGGGAAGCCGAACAACTTTGCGCATTCACAAGAATTCTACCAACTCTAAAGAATTCATAAACTTTTACCAACACTCAAAAGAGAAGCTTCGCCCATATTTATGGAGTGTTAACAGTTGGTGGCCTTCGAGATCAATCAGGCTTAAGCATGTGGGTAGAATAATTAAATATAGTCCATACGTACTTAGAATTGAGTCGTCTTTGCAATACACTTACCCTGAGTAATATTAGAAAAGTTAGCTATTCTAAATAATGTACTTTTTGCAATGAAAATGAATTGTGATGCGATACTTACAAACTTGTTCATATATATAAACTAGTGAATTGGGTGTTAAAGACCTTGAAATATACGGCAAAGCTCTTGATAATGCGATTTCATACAATGAATATGGAAAAAATCAATGCTGAATTTTGGGTAAATACATATGTAGACGATGGTATGTATAATTATTGGCTTGAAATTTATTATCATGCTTTATATTTACATTACTAATTGGCACCTTACAGATATCGATCGCATTGAGATAAGATCTGAAGAAGAAACTACCAGAGCTACAATTATAGGGTAAGCATCAATGGTTTATTTAAATAATACTTTCAGTGTGATTAACCTAAGTTATTTTATTTATTTTATTAACAGGTCGTTATGGTTAAATACGGTAGAGCTATTGAAGGTGCAGCGCTGGTCAAAAAACGTTAGCATCAATTATAATTAGATTGGCATTGGTAGAAACTTTTTGTATAAATTATGGTGTTTTCGTTCTTGATGAATCTACCACAAATCTTGATGAAGGAAATATTGAAAATTTGGTGGCTGGCTTACGAGGAATACTTGAATCTCGTCGAGGGCAGTCAAACTTTCATTTGATTGTCATCACTCATTATGTCAACTTTTCAAGAATGATAGGGAAGCTCAATATTCTGATAAGTTTATCAAAGTTTCGAAGAGAAAGCAAGTATAATTTATAATCTCATTTATGAAGTTCATCAAAGTATTTTAAAACTAATATTATATATATACTTTGTTTTTTTTTATGTTTGGAAATTTTAGTGGTTATAGGAAATCACCAGAATCAGATAATGAGGATGATGATGACGAATAGCTCGAATGTCTTGTATTATAACCTGGTGCACATTTTGCACCTCTAAGTATGCGATTAATTCATAAATTTTTTACTTTGAAAAATAAATTTGCGTGATTACATATTTTATAAGAATTGAATTTAACATTGTTAATTAGCATAATGCAAAAACAAATTATTATCGTTAAGTTAAATTTCACGTGCTTTATAATCTATATTGGAAAATTTCTAAAGACTTACTTTATAGTCGTTCACTATACAAGTTTTTTTTTCTTATTAAAATAAATATGTTACTCTCCCGTAAAAACTATATTACTATTATCAAGTACGATATGTTTCGGCCTTATTTATTTTTATAGTCATTATGCTTACACATTATAAAATTCGAAGTTATGAATAGGTTGTTTCAATAAAAAATCTTAATCAATACAAAAAAACGCTTTATTTATTTATTATATATACAATACTTTGAATTAAAAATATACATGTACATAATTTTTCTATATTATACTATATAACTATATAACTTTTTTTAGTTTCAACTATATAATTTTTACAATCATGTTCGATATAATCTTTTTCGTATTAAAGGATACTTAGTTTCGGCTAAAAAAAAAAAAGTAGCTTACTTGTCCTAGTCACCACGTAGAGGTGTATCCTAT